GTCTAGTTGCATATACTAACTCAAAAATGATCCATTTTGGCTCTCATGGAAGAAATATATGAGCGAGCTTTTCATCACCCACCACCTCATCCTTCTTACTACAATACCCTCACAAATGAATAATTGGACACTAAAGGCTCGTGTATTTGATAAATTTTAGCTCTCCGAATTTTTTAAGGATTACCATATCCCGCATTAAACATGTCTCAACTATTTTTGTAGGATCATACATATCAACGCCTTTTGTAGCCCTCGGGCACTCCTCGATAGTGGATAAATTATCCAAGTTAGGATGTTCTTTTATCTCAACTTTATAGGCTTCCTCACTAGTAAGATCAACAATGGACGTGCATTGAGTCCGTGGAGTTTGTGGTCCTATTATATAAAAAAACTATCCCATAAGGAATGATGCTTTACAAGAAATATGGTAACCCTCGGGTTTATAAATAAGGTGGTAGACGGCACTAGGCTATGTATGTATACTTAGTAGAGGAATAGGGTATGGCATTTCCCCCGAGTCTAACTTTAGTTTGAAGTACCCTCTCTACTTGGTAATGGTTATAGTGCCATTTTAAGCGAATTAGGAAGGTGAGAGATTTCTCTTTTCATAGCATCGAGTTCTTTTTAGTGAGCTCTGTTCCAATTGTGCCTTGTTTTGTTCTCTATCAAACATGTTAGAGTTTAGTGTAGTGTATTTAGGGAGGGAGTTGAGTTTTGGCAGGATGACCTATTTTTAGACTCCGTAAAAACTCAAAACAAAAACATACAATAAATATACAAAATCCATGTAAGAAAAATATGAATCGAGTGGGATACACCAAGTTGATATTGCAAGTTTTGAATGAATTGTTTTGATAAGAACTTATCAAAACAAAGTTAGTATGAGAAATATCATAAAAGAGTTCATGCCTTAATGGGTCAATCCTAGTTGATAGGATCTAATTCTCCAACATAATTTAAGTGAAGCTATCCAAATTCTAAAAGCTTTTCAAATCTCTAGATTGTTTAGATTACTAGTGGGATAACCTATCCTCCGACCTTATACAACGAGAGGTATAGAAAGGTCATTTCATAATTTTCCATGCATAGGGCGAGTGTCAATCCAAATGGGTACCTAGATGAGCATCAATAGATTTTCATCATACTTGTCATCCAAATCTCCCTATCTAAATTCTAAAGGTTTTTAGCTCGAGTCCGTAGTTCTTATAGGTTTTCTAATGATGTGTGTTCGAGCAACATTAAACGACTACATCCAACCCAATTCATAATATACATAATAAATACATAAAATAAATTACATAAAATAAATGACTTGAAATTAAATGAATGATAAATAAATATTTGAAAGATAAATGAATTAAAATTAAGATAAAAATATAGCTAAGAGAGATATATTAAAAAAAGACTAAACTTATGGCCTAACTTTGAATTCTCAATGAAGTCGTCATACAAGCGCTATCCGACATTTAGAGAACTTCTAAAAATTGTATGAAAAAGGAAAAAGAATTTAAATTTTTTTTTGGAGTTGTCACCTTGTATTAAAGGTAACTAGGAAATCTAAAATGAGCATTCGATTCATATATTCTAGGTAAGGAGTTGGTTATGCTTTTAAAAAGATAATAGTCATCCAAAGACACTCTTTTTAAGGAAAGGTACTTTGTGTAGTCTATTCCTAAAAATATCTCATAAAAATTATATTTACCAAATTATTTTATAAGTCTCTTTTCATGCTTAATTATTTATCATCTAGGTCAAACTATTTTTTTTATTATGACAATATATTAAATTAATGTCCGACACTAAGACTAAGAGTAGCATTAATTTAGCATTGGATCCAATGAAATTCCGATATAATTGACATGTTAAGGAACGACCTAATAACTAAAGATATTTTATTTGGATGTGGGTGAGAAAATATTTTCAAATTGATTTTTTATATTATTATGGAATCGTATTAAATCAACATCAAGCTCTTAAAAACTTAGGAGTCTCATTAATTTAGCATCCGATCCAATTAAATCCTTACACAATTGGCATATCAAAGAATGGCCTAATAATCTAAAGTGTTTATGAAAGATGTGGAATAAAGCTGGTATGTTTCAACCTTTAATTGATTTTTATTATTTAACTATTCATTTTAAATAAAACATCAAGATTATCATCCATCCCTATCGAATATGAGACTTGATGGTTCAACCTACTCTCTAATTAATCTAGCAAGGAAAAGCTTTATCTTTTTTTTTTTTGGTATTTTTATTATTTGAAAAAATATATTGAGACCATCATCCATCCCTAATAAATAGGAGACTCGTTGATCTAATATCATGATCAAATAAAAATCCACATGTTAAAATAAAATTTACAACCTAAATATTTTTACCCTTCAATGCACATAAAATTAAATATTATTACAAAATAACATAATGATAATAAACAACGAGTAAGAAAATAAACCAAATGGTCACTAAAAAGAGACTAAAATACTCCTAAAATGCTACTAGAAAATGACAAAAAATGCCTCATGTTTTTTGAAATGATAGAATTGGTCTTGGGTAGGTGAACTAGTAGAATTACCCCCGGGTAGGTGAAATGATAGAATTGCCCTTTATTAGTCTTGAATCTTCCAATGAATGCTAGTCACTCCTCCAACTACCCTTCAATGCGTGGATGGTCCTACAAGGTGGAGGAAGTCTTCCTCTTTCTTGCTAAGGTAGTTTTGTCGATCACCATTATCCGTGAAAAGAAATCGACGATCAAGGAGTTTTAGCCTTCTTCCTCTTCTTTTTGGCTTCGATTCCAATGATGGTGGTTGATTTTGAGGCTTGAAATTGAGTTAGAGACATCCTTAGGAATTGCTAGAGCTTTATTTTAGTAACTAAGCATTCTATTTTGGTCGAAACATATGGAAGAAGTCGGGTTTTGTTTGTGGGTTACACAAGTCTTTGTTGTTTTCCTCCTTCTCCCGCCATTTTCTATCACTATCATAGGGGAGAAGGATTGTGGGATAACAATGCTTCTTTCAATTGAGGTTTTGGGCTCTAATTTGGTTGAAAAGTTACCAATTTGGGAGGAGGAGGCATATAGGTCTAGTGGGTTGAAGAAATTGATTGGGTTACGAGTTTTTCGTGCAAAATTTTAACTTCCTCTACCATCTTCTTTTGTTCTAACCAGTTCAAGAAAGCTAGATCGAAGTTGGGCTTTACATATATGGTGGTTATATGGGGTGGTTGATGCCGAGAGTGGTGTTTTTTGGAGAGAGATGGTTGACGAGTGTCTAGCGAGTAGAAGAAACGAGTCGGTGAGTTATGGGTTTGGGTTGCTAAGGGCTTTTTTTTCTTTTTCTTCTTCTTCTTTTTTTTTTTTTTTTAAGGGTGGGTAGCTTCTCTCTCTTTTGTGAAAATTTCAGCCTACTCAAGGGTTCTCTTTCCTTTTTTTTTTTTTTTTGTGTGTAAAAAGATGCATTTATAGGAGATTTTTAGGGTTTGAGTTAATTTTGTTCCAGTACCTCATTTTCTCCTTGATTTTACCTCAATTCTTAGCCTTTCTTTTTGTTTCAATTACACCCTTAATTTGATTTCTATTGGTCATCACATATTTTATGCTCTTCAATTTGTGTTAGAATTTTTTTCTCTCTCTTTCTTTTTTCTTTAATTTTTTTACTTAAAATTTGGGAATAATCCTAAAAAAATTTAATTCCTAAAAATTTATAAAAATACCTATATATATAAACTATGCAACATATTTTTTTTAATTATTTTTTAAAATTTTGTATAAAAAAATATTTAGGGGGTTAATGGGTGTCAAAGATGAGTTATGACAAAACATAAGAAGATTAGTTTTTGAGAAATCTCCAGTTCTAGTAATTTCAATTTTTACTTAACAACAACATCATCTTTCTTTCTTTTCTTTTCTTTTCTTTTCTTTTTTTTTTTTTTTTGTCAATACTATTGTTAAATGAAAATGAAAATTCAAATAAATATATAACTCTCTCTTAGTTTTTTACCTCGACCTTGACAATTTTCATCTTTCCTCTTGATCTATTCTTTCTTTGATGATGCAGTTAAAAAACACATTTGGTACTGTTAATGGAGCTTGTAATTTTTCAAATAATCATGATATTCCAATGATTTTCATCTTATCCTATCGTCAAACTACAATATGGGATTTTACTTTTTTTTTTCTTTCAAAATGTTTGTTCAATATCGATAGTATGCCACGATTGAGAATTATATATAATGTATAAATTTGATAAATTATATATATAAATTTGATATGTTTATGAGAAAGCATACGAGAGACATCAACAATGATAATTAATGCTATTGATATAAAAAATAAAAAATAAAAATTTAGACCGTATGAGATTTGTTTTTAACTTAATCATATTCTTATATTGTTAGTTAAATGATTGACATATTGTTATAATAAGTCTTTATTATCATATTTGTTTTGTTAAAAAAATATTTTTTTTTGTAATGATTTTTTAATTTTAGTTTGTTTATTCTCATCCTTTGGCTTATATTGAGAAATTTTATAAATTTTAGGAATAAAATTTAAATTTATATAACTTTTGGTTATTAACCAAAATGGACGGAAATGAAAATTGAAATAAACACGAAAGATACGTAGCTATTTGAAACAAATCGAAGGTGAGAGGTCAAAACGTCAAAGAAAGATGATGACGTGCCTTTTTCCATTTGACATTTGCAGTTCAAGAAATATTGGAGAGGTGTTGTGTTGTGGACCAAAAATAGCTGAAAAGGACAACAAACATGCACGGACCCTTTTTTTTTTTTTTTTTCCCCCTCTTCGTGTTATCTTCTACAACAAAAACAAACTTCAGCAAGGCCAAGTAGCAAAACATCAGGCTGTGGAGTCTACTTTGGTATGTGTGGTTCATCGGTTTCCACGACTCCCACACTTCATATCTTTAATAACCCATCAACCGCTCCAATTTCATTTCAAAAGCCTCCTTAAAACCCATCTCTCCAAGATCTTTAATGGCGTCTATGTCTAGATTGGTTCTCCAAGATTGCAATTTACAGCCATGTGAAGCCATCTATAGGCCAGGCTCTTGTTTCCTTTCCAGGAGGCTAAAAACTCATCTGGGTATGCTTCATTACATTCGTTGCATTACTAGGTGTAGTGTTTATTGGCTCTTTTGACTGTTCTTTTGCCTCATTAGCTGCAAGTTTTTGGATTAGTAAGGATTGCTTGCTTTGTTTTTGAGCACATGGGTTTGCTTTGTTTATGGCATTCATTTATCCTATTCCAAAGATGTTTACGTGCTTTTACCAAAATTCTGTTGTAAACATGAATAATAAGATCCAAGAGGTGGGATTTCTGTACCCGGGAATGGAAGAATTTGGGCTATTCTAAACGAGCCAAGAAGTCCAGTTGTGGCCCTCACTCCCCTTTCATCTCCATCAATCATTCACTCTTCAAGGTATCTTTGTTACTGAATGCTTCATCTCTTGGTGAAGTCATATATTGAATATTTTGATTCTGTACCAGAAGCACTAGTAGCTGATGACTAATTTAGGGGGGATCATACTTGTTAACAGTTCACTTCTACAGATATAGGTGTCGTGCTATCTATGTAAACAAGTACATAAAGGAATAGAATATGATGGTACTATACTCAACGGGAAGTGATTGTACTTTTAAAACAAGCCCCAAGCTATCACAATATTGTTGTCATTTTCTATTGTGTACTGATCACTTGAAGTACATTTAACATTTTCCTTTTCTGTGGCTTTGTGAAGCACTGATCTATTAATGTTCATTACCAATTAGATGTCCTTTTTTCGCCAAAGAGAGGAATAGTTATGGTACTGTTCATTTGAAGTACATTTATGATTTTTATTTGCTATACTTTGTCAAGTGCTGATCTACTTCTGCTTCTTACCAATTGGATGACTGATTTTCAGATGAAAATGAAAGAGTCAATCCATCATTTCAGATTGTTTGGTTCAATATAATGGAAAATAAAGTGACTCTTCAGTGCATGAACATTTGCTCGTGTATTTTCATTCTATGATATAACATGTTGGCTGCTGCATATAGGAACTCCCGAGTTTTGTGTAGGACTGCTACAAATGAATTTGGTGATGTTCCCAGCAGCAGCACACCCAGTGGGCTGAGCCAGTATGAAAGGATAATTGAAACTCTGACAACTCTTTTCCCTCTATGGGTATGTGTTACAGGTCATTAAATTTCAGGCCTTTTTTTTTTTTTTTTCTTTTTTTTGGTTGTATATAACTGAAAAAACTTGAATTTGCATTTTGAATGTTCATCTCTAAAACACTGGTTACTAAAACTATAATTGTGTGGACAGGTCACGTTGGGCACCATTCTTGGTATTTATAGGCCGGCTGCGGTAAATAATCCTTCTTCTGCTATTTTGAGGAAGAAGATCAATTGTTACTTAACCAACTGAATGTCGGTATCTTCCTGCAGGTTACATGGTTGGAAACAGACCTCTTCACCCTTGGCCTCGGCTTCCTCATGCTTTCAATGGGACTGACTCTGACATTCAAAGATTTTGAACGATGTTTAAGAAATCCATGGACTGTGAGAGACAACTTCTTTTCTTTTTTTTTCATCTTTAAAAGAGAAGAGCAAAAGGTGATCTTTTTCTTTCCATTTCCTGATTAATTATATGTTTAATTGTTGCAGGTTGGTGTAGGGTTTCTTGCTCAGTACTTGATCAAACCTCTGCTAGGCTTTGCAATTGCAATGGTATTGCTTCACCATTTTCATAGCATATGGATCTTTTTTATTATTTTTTTTCTTGAATTGTATCTTTAGCATAAAGACATATATGTTAGAATATTGCAATATTGAGTCAACCATAGCTATAATATTGATGTACTTTGCATAATTCGTTAGGGACATCCATGAAATGTCCTCAAACCTGGATGCTTTTTGGGGACTATAAGTGGTCAAAAATTGTTAAATGGATAGACATTGTCAATGTCTTACCCTGTTGCATTGATATTATTAGGGGATCAAAGTGATATTGTTCTTGTTTTTTCAAGAATTAGGCTAGATTTTACTGATCTTGATAGGTAGAATGGCAGTTTCCACTTTATTTTTGACTTCTTAAATATTCTTCTCTTGAAGCAAATCCTAGGTCCTTACATATTTGTTTCTTGTGGAAGGCATACCGAGCATTATGCAAATACTGTGCTTCAGCTTTAGTTAGGGGGTCCTTTTTACCGAAAGGAGAAGGCGTACAATATACAAATCAGTCTTTATAAGAAGTATGACCTTGCTTTCAGGATACTTGTGCATATGTGAAATTGCTGTGTACAACCTTTTGAATTGTATTGTTTCAATAACAACTTCCTGACATTATTATGTATCTTGATAGTTTTGGTTAAAATTATAATCCCTGACAACTATCTGTGTGTTATTCAGACATTGAAATTGTCAGCACCTCTTGCAACTGGTCTCATTCTGGTCTCCTGTTGCCCTGGAGGTCAGGCATCCAATGTTGCAACCTATATATCAAAGGGGAATGTAGCACTATCGGTTCTTATGACGACGTAAGAGCGATTTGTATTCATGCCTGCAGTTCTGTTGGGTTGACCTACTCTGGCTAACCTTTTATCTTTTCAATCACTTATGCTTTGTCTTACATACTGTGCACTATCTATTATTGTATGCAAAAGTTTTTATAAAAAGGGTCATGTTAGTAGTCCATTTCATTTCTTCTGTGGAGAACACTGTATTGTTGTTGGATTCACCAAAGGAATTAACTTGTGGCATATCTTCACTTTAATGGAAAATTTTCATATCATACAAGAGACTTCTCAAATTTATTTTCTGCTAGGTAACTATAATTAACACAGTAATATGCTGAGTTCTATTATCTCTAGAGAGACTATTGGTAGGATGTGATTGGTGGCTATCTGCCACTTACTCACTGGTTCTGCTTCCATTTATTGATTCTCTTGAAACCTTACTCAAGCAAGCAAAAACTAAACAATCTTCTGAAGGTTTTTTTTAGATGATGTCAATGCTAAGGTTGAAGCAAAAAACTTCTCTCTCCTTCCTATTCTATGCTTCATTGTAAACTTTAGGGATTTCTCATTTGGCATATCACTCACATACAAATATTACTATATTCTTTGGTCATACATTAAATCTTCTAGCATGATATGACTGGTGTGTGGGTGATAGTATTTCCGTTTGCTCTTATAAAAGGAGTGACTGCAGCTTATAATTACGTTCTGAAATCATAGTACTAGTTAAATACGAATTCCTTTGTTACTCTTGTTTTCTAATTTTTCATAGAATTTCTCAGATGTTCAACTATTGGAGCTATTATCATGACTCCTCTCCTCACTAAGCTTCTTGCTGGCCAGCTTGTTCCAGTTGATGCTGCAGTAAGTTTGACAGTCTTGCAAATTGCCTGCCCTGATATTCCTTAAACTTGTGCAACTTGGAAACTGATGACTGGCTACAAGTATATATTACATTTGTAAGGATCACAGAACCATAAGCATTGACAATGAACTGTCGAGGTTCTTCCATTCTAAAATCCACCCTAATTCTTAAGGATCATAGTTTCACATGCATTGGCAAAATGTGATGAATTATTCCATCGACAGATTCAGATGAACATCAAAGTGAGAAATAAGTGGGTAGAACTGGCTAAAAAATAACTTTAGGCTGTAGAGAACAGTTACAAGGGTTTGAAAAATGTATTAGCATCAACCACTTAAGGAACTTTCATGTTTGGTTTAGCAACTTACAATGATGACCTTCATTTTCCTTCCATCTTCTCAGGGGCTGGCTATCAGCACCTTTCAGGTTGTTTTGGTGCCAACTATTATCGGAGGTAACTTGAAGGTTTTATAACTTTTTATGAATTGGAGTTGGATCAGCTAAAGTTTGACATTGCTGTAGTGGCTTACCACAAATGGATTTGCATACCAACATAATGATGTAACCCAAGGTCCTTATTCATGACAGTTCTTTCGAATGAATTCTTCCCTAAGTTCACTTCGAAGATAGTCACAGTTACACCTTTGATTGGAGTTATTCTCACAACCCTACTCTGTGCAAGCCCCGTAAGTTCCCAAATTATTTGCTGAATCTTTGGCATTACTTTAAATCTATTTCCAAGATTGTGGCAATGTTTTCTTTTATATAATAAATCTATCGTTAATTTTTCACTATTTCTTAGATTGGGCAAGTAGCAGATGTCTTGAAAACCCAAGGAGGACAACTGATAATGCCAGTGGCTCTCCTACATGGTGCTGCATTTGCTATTGGTTATTGGGTGTCAAAAATATCATTTGGTGAATCCACCTCTCGTACTATATCTATAGAATGTGGGATGCAGGTAAATATGACAATTATGGCTTCCTTGGACGTGATGCTTATGATTTAAAAAATGGTGTCATACATTTCTCCACCCATGTTTGTGAATCTAGATGGCACTAGGATAGTAAGCATGCATATTAGCTGTGCAGAACGTTTTTTGCACTTCAAGTACCACTGGTAACATATTCATTTATGTAAGACTTCTTAATCAATAATCTATGAAGACAATAATCCTTAATGGATAAGCAAGTCTTACATATCAGGGAAAAATTCAGCCTGAAGCTAAAACATTTAGGTAAAAGCCAAATATAGACTTTTGCATTTAAACATGCTCTATGGAAAGTCCCACTGGCCTTGAAGCATGGATGGTACTCATGCCCACCACTTTCTCATGCTGAATTAATTTGCAAATAAATGTTATTGACTAGTATTTGTACTCACGTTAATCTGAACCACTAGTGTATAGAAACTTTGATGTCATCAAGAAGTGCTCAACCCACAAGTTTAGTTATCATATACAAGTCAAATATAGACTTTCATCTCGTAACGATAAGCTGGTGGTTGGTACCAGGAATCTTGTATTCTTTAGAGTTTAGGATTCACGTAAGTCGGGAATAAGATACTTGCAATGTGATGGTTTTTTTTAGGTTAGCAATGATGATTCCAGTGAGAATTTATATGGTTTGGACAACTGTACCATTATACGCTCAAAACTTCAGATTTTTGTTGGATTTCCTATTGCTTTTGAACTTTATCAATGCCTTTTCTTGATTTAAACAAACATAAATTATTTTGGAATAAAATTAAAGATAAGAAACTGAACATCTGTTGGCAAAACAGAAGATTCATTGAAGAAATTTTGTATACAAATGTATTTTTAGCATCTTTCACATTAAGGTTTTGAATTGATATATCCAAATATCTCATTTATCATAGAAATTATTGAATTAAAAAAAAAAAAAAAAAAACACAGATGTTGTTGAGTAAAAACTAAAATAAAGGAATGCATGATTTGTTAGTCTCTAATTAGAGACATTCCAATGCCAAGTACCCCATAGCAATGTGTGTGGATACCATGCTAGTATGGACTAAAGACATGTTCATTGTCACAACATAACAATGAATGACCTTTTAATATCTCTAGGTTTGCATTGGGCTGCTTGCTGATTTAGTTTTATCAATTTGTAATCCATTCTTTCCTAACAAATCAATTTGTATCTGCAGAGCTCTGCACTTGGGTTTTTGCTTGCCCAGAAACATTTCACTAACCCCCTTGTGGCTGTGCCCTCAGCTGTTAGTGTTGTTTGCATGGCGGTAAGACCTTTACTTAAATTACTTGGAGTTTCAGATTCTCTGCTTTATTTTTTTCTGCAATTCTTTTATTGGTAATAGGCACCTTTAACTGGGACACAATTAGTTTGGGATTGAGGCTTTGTTTTTATTCTTTTTGTTGTTGTTGTTTCACTTATCTCATTTCCTGCCCCAATATACCTTGCAGCTTGGTGGGAGTGCTTTGGCAGTATTTTGGAGGAACAGGCCAATTCCTGTTGATGACAAAGATGACTTCAAGGAATGATAGGTATTAGGCCTGGTGGCCACTGATATATCGCTCTCTATTTGTTGCTAGCATTGACACTCTTCTTTCGTATGTTTTTAATCGTTTGAAGTCAGTTTTTAGGGTTAAAAATAAGTTTTGTAGAATGAGAGATCATTGAAAACTTATATGGATATGGACAAGTGAACCTTGTATTTTAAGAATAACATCATTAGAATAGCTTTTTGAAGATTACCCATGCTTTCTTCTATAGGGGGCTAGTAAGGACATGTTGGAAATTCACTTTATTTCTTTTAATTTTAGAAAATTCTATCCGAATAAGGACACTGTGGCCTAAGATTATTCCTTTTGCTTTGCATCAAGGCTGTTTATCTCTTGAAGCTAATCAAATGCATTCATGCCTTATTAAGAGATTCATAAGAATTTTTTACGTTCCAAGATTCGTAAGATTATTATTTGGAATTTCAACTAACAAATTGCATGGATTGGTCAACCTTTTACAATTAAAAAGGTTGCAAACAGCAAAGAGAGCACCACATAAACATTAAAAAGCTAACATATATGTATCTCACTAAGCTCATCAGCGAAGTAACGATATAAACAAGTAGTGAACGAAACAGAAATGGATGCATTGTTATAGATTTTCGCAAAATTTTTAGGATTTTATACTTTTGACTTGAAAAAAAGTTATAATAACCATATTTGGATAAAAAGTAGCTGATTTCCATGCATCGGGAAGGACAAAATTATTTTAAAAGTTTATTCTTCTTTCATTGAAATTTTCTTATTTCATTAATTTTTTTTATGCTTTTCATACATTTTCTGTTTTTTTTTTTTAAAAAAAACATAATCTATTCTTCTTTATGCATTGATTCTTAAATAAAAACCAGTAATAATTTAAAATGAAATATTAATCAAGAATTCAAAAAAAAAAACTCTAAAAATTAAATTTTCGTAAGAATATATTAAAAAATAAAGTATAAATTAATGTATAGACTTGTATAAAAATTAACTAATAAAAAATAATTTTTTGTTCTTATTAAATGCTGAGGATATATATATATATATATATATATATATATATATATATATATATATATATATCATAAAAAACTGCTTTTTAATAATTGGGTGGCTTCTTTAAAAAATTATTTTAAATAAATTGGTTCTATAATCTAAAAAAAAAAAAATTCAGAGTAAATATTTGATGTTATGAGTGAAAATATATAATTAATTTTTAATCAAATCGATAATTTAATAGTTTTTTATACGTCTTAATCATATCTAGTGGACTAAGATAAATTATTTAAAATATAATTTTAACATATATATATATATATATATATATATATATATATATATATATATATATATGCAACTATTATTTAAAAATTCAAAAAAAAAGAAGCAAAAAGCGATCATTTTTCAAAATTTTATTCTAAAATGCAAATATAGAGAAAAATAAATCATATTTATCTCGCTAATAAAATTTTATATAAAAAAACATTAATTGGATGAGAATTTTCATAAAAAATGATAAATTCAAAGAATAAATTTTAAATAATAAGATAATAATTTAAAATATATATTAATTTTAAAATATAGTATTTATATTTTATCCTTGTTATGCTTGCGTGAAAAACACAAATAACAATGTTCAATGCTCCATAATTTTTTCCTGAAAATTCTTAATTTAAAAAAAATTAAACATAAAAAAGAAAAAAAAACAAGGACCAGTGTCCGTGCACCGGGGCCTAGAGCAATTGGCTAGTGTGCCTTGGGCAAAAAAAGAAAAAAGAAAAAAAGCCTTTAATTCGGGTGACCTCTACAAATTTCACCGATCTCGATTTCACTCGAAAAGTTGTGTTTATTATTTGTGACCTATCAAAACAAAATTCAGCTCCATTTTTGTCAAAAAAAAAAAAAACACCTCAAAATTATAGCAACATAAAAAATTTTGTATAGAACTTCAAAAAACCCATTTTAATGCACACAAAACACATAAAAATTCAAATCAAAATATAAAAAGTCTAAATATTTTGAGCTTTCAATTTACTTCCTCCTACTATTTCATGACTTACGGTCACAACAAACAGATTCTACTTTTTGAGGCGAACAAATTGATGATAAGCTCGACCGCTTGGATGGTTAGAATGGACCTCACTAGCTTTCTGTCTCTTTTGTTTTTCTCTCCTCTTAGCATATAGGAACCAAAACGAACCAAAAAACAAAATGTTAAAAAAAAAGGTATCAAACCGCATATTTTTTTGATAAACGAGTGTAAGTGCATAATGAATGAAAAGTAGTTTCACTCATAATGCACAATATAAACACACAACTATAAGTGCATAATGATTGAAAAGTAGTTTTCACTCACAAGTGCACATTAAAAACACATAATATACGGTAAGTGAATAGTCTAATAAATAGTAAAATCACATTTTGTTTTAATATTATTAGTAATAATCTTTGACTTAAATAAAATATTTGTTACAAAATTGAGTTAAAATTTTACTTTGATAAAAAAAAAGTTTAATTTTCACAATATATATTTCTAACTTGCAATAATTCATAACTCGTTTTTTATCATAAATTATTTATAAAAAAAGAATTAATTATAAATTAAAGTCAAAAGTGTTATCATCTAATTTTTATCCTTTTATTTTTCAATAAAATAAAATGTTTTTATAAATTAATTTATTTTTAAGTCTTTATGTTGTGATTTTGAAAAATCTCATAATTTGTAGGTTTTGAGAAAATACAGGGGGTGGAGGGCACCACCGCCACAAACCACCACTTAGTTGTCGACCACCACTCCAACACCAACCCCATAGTTTAGCGGAACCACCTCCTTCATCCTCTTAGTGACAACCAATATTCATCTTCTTCAACAAACAAAAAGACATCCCATTAACAACCCTCTTTTCAATCGGACCTCCACCAAAACTAGAAGAAAAAACCACCTACATACCCTCTATAGAAAACAACAACTTGAAATCCAATTACCTTTCGTCCCTATTAGCCACCGGATAGACCACCACCGACGTCTTCTATTTTCTTTGAACAAAAATCACCCTAAAATCCACTCGATAATCATCCTCTTCTCACATACCCGGACCTAGTCGAACCATCATAACTCTAGCCATTGACCTCTTTCAATTGCTCCGGTTAACCTATGGTGTCCCCTTCTCATAACTATCCTTTAATCGTGATTAAAACTAGCTCTAGTAGCGACCAACGACCAAACCCAATGCCAATAGTCACCCGCGACCAAAATGGCCACCGTCCACCACTTCTTTGATCACTATGGATCCATCGATCATCTATAGTCGAGACACCGCTACATAACCCAACCCTTCTTGCCATTTTTCTCTCCACCAAGACACCTCTTAACAGATCACGGACCCCATTCATCAATCAAAACAACAACAACAACAAAATAATCCACCCGAAGCTTGCCCTAAAACATTAATCACAATCGAACCAACCATTAAAACCCAATGCCCAAAATCTCCCTAACCACCACGTTCCTAAAATTGGTGTTTGTCATTTTATAGTAGATAATAAGGGTAGAAGAAGAGTTTTTGAGTGGAACTCGAACTTAAAACATGACTTTTGTTTGTGTTGGTTTGATATATTTTGTTGTTTACGATTGATAAAATGGCAGGAGAAAAATAATTATATTTGGTTTGATGTGCTCTACTCGTTTATAGTTAAAATAGTGGTAGGATAAAAAAAATCAAACTCCGAATTAGATCTAAAACGATTTTTAGATCTGTTTGCCGATTTGTTAGATTGTGAAAAATACGATCTAGGCATGAATGTTTGATTGTTGTTGCAAATTATAGACTAATAACACTAAGCAAATTGAAAATGAGGTTTAGACTAGCCCAAAAAGAAACAATAGCTCATTTATCTTTCTCGATTGATCGAATAATTAGTCTTCATCGAGATCGAGGGAATTGAAACTAACTCGAAAGGCTTTTTTAGCAATTACATATTATTCAATTGCTATTTGGGTAACTTTTTGGATGAAATGATGTAAATTACTCGTCATATTATTATGTAAATAAATGAGATTAAAAAATGCATATTTGAATATATTTGAGAAATTTGAATTGTTGTTAGATACACCTTTATATATCGAACTCGAAAATGTCGAGACCCCATATACTTTGAGGAGTAATAAGGCTAATTGATCAATGCTTTACGATGGAACTAGGAGGATGAGTTTGAGTTTTAATTTCAATGGTTTATATGAGACGAGTACCACCACTTAGTTGTCAACCATCATTCCTACACTAACCCCACCGTTTAGCCGAACCATCTCCTTTATTCCATTATTTATAGCTAATATTCATCTTCTTCAACAAACAAACAAAAACCCCATTAATAATCCTCTTTTCAATTGGAACTCCACCAAAACCGAAGAAAAAACCATATATACTCTCTTTATAGAAAACAACACCTTGAAATCCAATTGCCTTTCGTCCCCATTAGCCATCGGATAGACAAACTACCGAGGTCTTCTCTTTTCTTTGAACAAAAATCACCCAAAAATCCATTAACCTTCATCCTCTTCTCACATAATTAGACACAGTCGAACCATCATAACTTTAGCCACTAACCACTTTCACTCGCTCTAGTTAACACATGGTGCCCCCTTCTTACAACTATCCTTCGATCATGGTTGAAACTAGCTCTAATAGCGACCAACGGCCAAAACCAATGCCAAAAGTCACCCACGACCAAAATGGCCATTGTCCACCACTTATTCGATCACTATTGATCCACTAGTCATCTATAGTCGAGACATTGCTCGCACAACCTCACCTTTTTACCCATTTTTCTCTCCATCAAAACAACAATAACAAAAAAAAAAAAAAAAAATCCATCTAAAGCTTCCCCTAAAACATTTAGCACCATTAAAACCCAATGCTCGAAATCTCCTTAACCACCACGTTCCCAAAATTGGTGTTTGTCATTTTACAACGGATAATAAGGGTAGAAAAAAGGTTTTTGAGTGGAACTCAAACTTAAAACATGGCTTTTATTTGTGTTGGTTTGATATATTTTATAGTTTACGATTGATAGTGGTGGTAGAAGAAAAATAATTTTTTTTGGTTTGATATGCTCTACTCGTTTATAGTTAAAATAGTGGTAAGATAAAAAAATTAAACTCCGAATTAAATCTAAAATGATTTTTAGACCATCTACCGATTTGCTAGACTATGAAAAATACATTCTAGTCACGGATGTTTGACTCGTTATTGCCAATTATAGACCGATAGGGCTGATCGAACCGAAAATGAGGTTTAGATTTTCCCAAAAAGAAATGATAGCTTGTTTCTCTTTCTCTACTAACCGAATAATTAGTCTTCATTGAGATCGAGGGAATTGAAACTCGACTCGAAAGGTTTTTTTAGTAATTACATATTTTTCAATTACTATTTGGGTAACTTTTGGAACCGACCTTACCTATTTATTGTTTAGAGTGAAATGATGTAAATTACTATCATATTTTATTTAAATAAATGAGATAAAAAAATGCATATTTGAATATATTGGAGAAATTTGAAGTGTTGTTAAATACACCATTGTGTATCAAACTAGAAAGTGTCGTAGACCCCATATACTTTAAGTAATAAGGCCGATTTATCAATGCTTTATGATAGAACTAGGAGGATGTATTTGAGTTTTAATTTCAATGATTTATCTTGGACGAGTACCACCACTCCCACACCAACCCCACAGCTTAGTCGAACCATCTTTTTCATACCATTAGTTATAGCCAATATTCATCTTCTTCAACAAACAAAAACACACCCCATTAACAACCCTCTTTTCAATCGAACCTCCACCAAAACCGAAGAAAAAACCACCGATACACTTTCCGTAGAAAACAACAGACTTGAAATCTAACTCGCCTTTCGTCCCCATTAACCACCGGATAGAACACCACCGATGTCTTCTCTTTTCTTGGAAAAAAATCACCCAAAAATCCACTAACGATCATCCTTTTCTCACGTAACTAGATCTAGCTAAACCATCATAACTCTAGCCACTAACCTCTTTCACTCGCTCTAGTTAACTTGCGGTGTCCCCTTTTCACAACTATCTTTCAATCATGGTTGAAAACTAGCTCCAGTAGTGATCGGCGCCCAAAGGCCAAAGCCACCGACTCACTCGTGACCAAAACCGATGCTAACAATCACCCACGACCAAAATGGCCACTCGTCCACCTTTTCTTTGATCACCACTAATCCACCAGCCCATCTATAGTCAAGACATCGCTACACAACTTAACCTTTCGTCATTTTTCTCTCCACCAAGACACCTTTTAATAGTCGAGTCCCCATTCATCAATCAAAATAACAATAACAAAAAAAAAATTCCATCAAAAGCTTCTTTTAAAACATTCATCATAATCGAACCCATAATTAAAACCTAATGCTTGAAATCTCCCTAACCACCATGTCCCTAAAACTAGGGTTTGTCATTTTATAGCAGATAATGAAAGTAGAAGAAGCGTTTTTGAGTGGAACTCGAACTTAAAACATGGTTTTTGTTTATGTTGGTTTGATATATTTTGTTGTCTACGATTGATAATAGTGGTAAAAGAAAAATAGTTGTGTTTGGTTTGATGTGCTCTACTCGTTTATAATTAAAATAGTGGTAGGATAAAAAAAAATTAAACCGTGCATCGGATCCAAAACAATTTTTAGATCGTCCGTCGATTTGTTAGACTATGAAAAATGTAGTCTAGGCATGGATGTTTGATTGTTGTTGCAGATTATGGATTGCTAGGGTTGACCAAAATGAAAATGAGGTTTAGACTCACCCAAAAAGAAATGGTAGGTCATTTCTCTTTCTCGATTAATCGAATAATTAGTCTTCTTCGAGATCGAGGGAATTGAAACTCGACTCGAAATGCTTTTTTAGTAATTACATATTTTTCAATTACTATTTAGGTAACTTTTGGAATCGACCTTACCTATTTATTGTTTAGAATGAAATGATGTAAATTACTATCATATTATTATGTAAATAAATGAGATTAAAAAAAGTGCATATTTTAATATATTTGAGAAAATTGAAATGTTGTTAGATACACCATTGTGTATCGAACTCGAAAGTGTTAGAGATCCCATATACTTTAAGGAGTAATAAGGTTGATTGATTATGCTTTGTGATAGAACTAGGAGGATGAGTTTGAGTTTTAATTTCAATAGTTTATTTGGAACGAGTATTGATCTTAATGTTCGCAAGTGAAAAAAGATCTTGTGTTTTGTTTTGAATAACATAATTTAGTTGTTTTTGTTCATTAAAACAAAGTAGTTGGTGCCTTTTCACATATGTGGATGAACCCGTCAATGGCTTTCAAAGCTTTTTTTTTTTTTGTTTTCTAATCATTGAAACGAAGACATTGGTGGCTTCTCACCTATGTGGATGAAACTATTAATAGTTTTTAAATTTATTTAGCTATTTGTTATTCACTAAAACAATGCCATCGGTGGCTTTTCATCTATGTAGACGAAGCCGTTAATGGCTTCTAAAGCTATTTAGTTGTTTTTTGTTCATTAAAACAAAGCCATTGGTGGATTCTCAAATGATGTGATTTGAAATCATCAATGGCTTTCTAAATTTTATGAATGGAGTTATTGGTGACTTCTTATTTGTATGGATAAAGTCATTGGTGTCTTTTAAAATGATGTGATTTAAAGTCGTTAATAAATTCTTAAATTTTACGAATGAAGTCGTCAATAGCTTTCCATTTATATGGACGAAGTCGTCGATGACTTTTTAAATGATGTGATTTAAAGTCGTTAGTGACTTCTTAAATTTTATGGATGAAATCATCGATAGTTTCTCACTTGTATGGACGAAGTCGTCAATGACTTTCCAAATGATGTGATTTAAAGTCGTTAATGACTTCCTAAATTTTATGAATGAAGTCATCGGTGACTTTCTACTTACTTCCTACTTGTATGGATTAAGTCATCTCGTGGCTTCCTAAATGATGTGATTTGAAGTCATTAGTGACTTTCTAAATTTTATGAATGAAGTCATTAGTCGTTTTTTTTGTGTAGGCGATGTCATCGATGCCTTTTTCAAATAATATGATTTAAAGTTATCGGTGACTTCCTAAATTGGATGAAGTCATCAATGGCTTCCTAAATAATGTGATTTGAAGTTGTTCGTAACTTCTTAAATTTTATAGATGAAGTCATTAGTAGCTTTTCACTTGTGTGGACAAAGTCATCAATAGCTTCCCAAATGATGTGATTTGAAGTCATTGGTGGCTTCTCAAATGATGTGATTTGAAGTCATCGGTGACTTTTTAAATTTTATGGATGAAGTTGTCG